GAGAATCTGTCTGTTAATGCAATTTATATAAGCAATGATTCCTCATATTAAAGAGAGAGGAAGGGGAGGAGAAGAGGGAAGAGAAGATTTCACTCCAGAGAATTAAAATTACTCATTAATGATCACATGCTATTCTGTTCTCTCACTGTCTTAAATGGTGGAGAATGAAGCACTACTAAAATTATATTAACAGAAAAATTCACAATATTTACATATATAAGAGGAGAAAAGCATTGAAATGCAAGAAGAAAGAGAAGGGGAAAGACATGATGACTAAGTGAAATGTTTACTTCATTCAGAGGTAAAACAAATGTTTTTCATCTTCAAAATTATGTTAAAAGGGAATATACTTTGGTAACTTTTTTTCTGAACACGAAAAAGTCCATAATATTTCAATGTCAGTGTGACAAACAACGATGGATCTATAACAAATTAAATGAAACAGGAGAGTATTCACCTGTGTCTGACCCTTTACTGCGAAAGGAACCCTTTCTTCAAAGAACAGAAAACAGTTAGAAAATGAATGGTTCAAATATAATTTTCCCAGGAGCAATGTGGAATCTCCAGTGTTCTCTGGCTTAACTACAGCTTTGCCTTGAAGACATGTGAGTAGTTCTGGAGGTGGGTTTAAAGAAAGAAGTATGCCAGGGAAGAGTACATGGAGGAATTCTTATTTTCAGATAAACAAGCAGTGATCCAAAACATCCTATCTTATAGTATTCAATACCAGCCAAAATGGATGACATAAATGGCTAATCTTCATTATAAAGGAAGAGAGATATTTTAACACTAATACCCTATTTAAATACTCCACTGTTCAGGATATTTAGGCTCATTAGTGAACATGACATTCAGTACTAAAAAGCTATAAAGCTCTTCAAAATTAGACAAATATAGCTTCCAACTATCAACAAAGTATTTTGATATTTTTCATAAAGGAAAAAAATGTATTCCTCTTGATCTGAAGTGCCTAAAACAGTACATCAAATGAGAGTGATCAACATGCCAGCAGCGGCAGAATCTCAGTATCTGTGGCAGTCAGTGTGTGTGTATAACCTTTCATACATTACATTACAAAATATATTTCAGAGATTTGGTACAAGGAATGCCACTTAAACTTGAATGTACACAAAGTAACAGACATAAATATGTTATAACATTAACATATAACAGTTTGCATATTTAGTTAGTTCAAGTATCTTAAATATTGATGAATTTTTTTGTTGTATTCTGGGAACATACACCAAATCTAAACTGCTTTTATCAAAGTTCACCATTCTGAGCTCCACCAACAATTGAACAGAACCAAGCTTGGCATACACAACTCCCTTGAGCAACAGAAAATACTGGAGAGGTTTGGAGAAAATAGACCCTGACATTTGGGAATTGCAGTTGTGTGGATTTATAGTTCACCAGTCATCAAAGAACATTCTTGTGACTAAGGTCCTCCTAGTATCCTGCTCAGGAGAGCAGGAATCTGCTCTTCATGTAATTAACTATTATGATTGCATAAAACCTGAACTATGTGATTGTGTTTATGAAGTCATAGAGTTGGAAGAGATAAGGACCATCAAGTCTAACCTCCTGCCATGCAGGAAAACACAATCAAAACACCACTGACAGATGGCCATCCAGTCTCTGCTTAAAAACCTCCAGAGATGGTTAACAAGTGTTCACATACACACACCACTCATTTTTATAAAGAGTTTTAAGCGTTTTAAGAGTATACTTTGTAGAGAAGCTCAATGATACACACATGTTTTACATACAATAATTCACAGGTTTGATCCCTGGCATCACCAAATAGAGCCTGGAAAGATTTTTTTTCCCCAAATCCCAGAGTGCTGCTACCTCTCAGCATAAACATTGTTGATCTAAATGAGTCACTGGTATCATTCCATATGTCTTGGATACATATGGCAAGCCAGCAGCCACTGATGTGAATACAGTTGCATTTTCTCCCACTATCCAAAATCAGGAATGGCAGCTAGATCATTATGTATAAAGCCTAGATCACATTAACCTTTATCCACAATGCTACACACAACCACAGAAAAACTCACCAGGGCACTGATAATTTGTTGCCTTTTTATTCTTCTTTTCCCCCTTTTAAAAACCTTTTAATTATTTGACACAAACAATTGCATATATAATCAGAAAATATACATTCAAAAATAATGAAATATGTCTAGATCTGTATGCAGATGACAACTTGTATAACATACTCTACCATTCACTCGACTTTAAGACATTTTCAAAGGAAAATCCATGCAAACTATACCTAACTAGAACTGTTTCTATCTACATAACAGCAATAGCGCCATCGGCTACTCCCCCCGCCCCATGTCATATGTAAAATAAAAGTCCCAATGTATCAGGGTTTTTTTTAGGAAATTCCTTACAAGGCAAGAAATGATCAAGAGAGTTTCAAAATATGTCCAAATACATCCTGATATTACATCAATTAAAAAAAAAACGTAAGAATGGGAGCAGGCAACAAAGTACTCTCTTATGACTACAACTTTCTGACTATTTTACATACACAGGCATGGACAACTGCAAAAAACCCAATTTGCATAAACTGAAAGATGTTCAAAATCATAATCAAATGTTTCATTAACATTATCCCAACATATTTAACTTTTCCAGGAATCACTTTTTTCTATTTTGTAGCATTCCAGCTTGTCCACATAGTATTACGTATTTCTTTTTTTAATTTTTTTCTTTCTTTTTTCCTTTTTATTCTTCTAACATTCTGCAGAACTGATTTTTAGATTATAGAAAAGTCACCTATGGATGTGAGAGCTGGATCATAGGGAAGGTTGAGCAAAGGAAGATAGATGCTTTTGAACTGTGGTGTTGGAGGAAAGTTCTGAGAGTGCATTGGACTGCCAGAAGATCCAACCCGTCCATACTTCAGGAAATAAAGCCCGACTGCTCATTGGAGGGAAGGATATTAGAGACAAAGTTGAAGTACTTTGGCCACATCATGAGGAGACAGGAAAGCTTAGAGAAGACTATGATGCTGGGGAAAATGGAAGGAAAAAGGAAGAGGGGCCAACCAAGGGCAAGATGGATGGATGGCATCCTTGAAGTGACTGGCTTGACTCTGAAGGAGCTGGGGGAGGCGACAGCTGACTGTCACAACCTGGGGATCACAACCAGACACAGTGAAGACATCTGCCCTTGCGCTGTGCTACTCTGCTGCTGAATACGCATGTCCAGTGTGGAACACATCTTACCATGTTAAAACAATTGACACAGCTCTTAATGAGACATGCCACATTATCACAGTATGTCTATGCCCCACACCACTGGAGAAATTATACTGTTTAGCCAGAATTGCACCACTTGACATCCGCCCAGAAGTAGCAGTCAATAATGAAAGCACCAAGACAGGGACATCTCCAGCCCATCCTCTGTTTGGATATCAGTCAGCATGCCAATGTCTTAAATAAAAAAAAAACACCTTTTTAAGGTCTACAGAGATACTTTCAGGACTACCTCAGCAAGTGGGAGTCCAAAAGTGGCAGGCTAAAACTGGAACCTCAATCTGTGGCTGAAACTGGATGAGAAACTCCCTCTTGGGCACACAAAAGGCTGAGTGACTTGAAAGGCACTGAACAAAATGTGCTCTGGCACCATGAGATGAAGAACTAATCTTAAGAAATGAGGCTACAAAGTGAGAGTCCACAACATGCAAATGTGGAGAAGAGCAAACCACAGACCACTTACTACAATGCTGTCTGAGCCCTGCCACACGCACAATGGAAGACCTTCTCACAGTGACACAAGAGGCACTCTAAGTGGCCAGCTTCTGGTCAAAGAAAATCTAATATAACACCAAGTTTTTAAACTTTGTATTCTTTTTTAAATACATTATAAATGTACCCTCATTTCGCTTATGACACGATAAATAAATAAAAATAAAAATAATTTTCAAGAACTACACAAAAAGCATTGGCCTAATTGAAAACGATATTTCAGAGTAATCTGAACAAACCCGGGCAATTTTGGGGTTCATACCCCTGCACCTCTCCTATTCAAAAGAGGAAGTCAGAAACTCTACCTTCTATTTTTAACAAACACAGTTTAAGACTATGTCTGAACGCTGACAGACAAAATTGGATCTGGGCTATGTTTTAGAAATAGAGTCCAAGTGCCAGTTACAGTTATGAAACTGGCTTGTTTCAATGCAATGTTGTTAAAATGTGCACATACTGCTTATCGGTGAAAAGCAAAAGCTGTTCATCTCCACCTTGCAGCTGTGTCTGACATGTGGTGGATGGGTGAGGACCAGATAACACTGAATCATAAATCAGGATTATGTCTGATTGAGTGCTTTTTCAAAATTCTTGAATTTAAATCTTCAAATTTCATGCTATCAGATGACAAGTGTGTGGTGAGAAAAATAAACAATACAGTCGGTTAAAAATTCACCACACGGAGGGATAAACCTTAATGATACAACAATAAAACATATTAAATGTATACCATACATATGTAGAAGTTTCCTCTATGTAAGAGAATACATTTAAGTTGATTTGAATCTATCAGCTAGTAGACTATGGACCAATGAACTAAGGTAGCTGCAACCAAAATACTGTAGCATACAAAGAAGAAGAAGAAGAAGAAGAAGAAGAAGAAGAAGAAGAAGAAGAAGAAGAAGAAATAATAATAATAATAATAATAATAATAATAATAATAATAATAATACAGACTGGCTGAAAACACTGGCCATTGAAGCAACAGTTGAAGGCAATATACTTCTTTAGTTCTTATTTGTTCCTATTACTACTTGTCTTAGGCCCACATAATGAATGGAGACATAATACGGCCCAGTCCATTGGCTAGACAACAATGCTAAAGCACATACAATAGATGCTTGTTGTTAAAGAAATCACTATTTCAAAGAATAGGTAAAATCAACCATCCACTCTATTAATATACATAAACTTTTCTGATACACCCATGGTAAAGAAAATGGAACTTTCTCTTACCTGTGTATACAATTTTTCGATTCAAGATATGCCATCCCAGCAGCAACATCTAATGCGAATTTAACTAACTGTTTGGTTTTTAGTTCATCCTTCTTCTTTCTTAGAAAGGAGAGGAAATCACCTCCTAAAGGAAAAAAAACAGACAAATAGATATGGCGCAAATGATATTTTAATTTATCTCCCATTAGTAATGCCTGACTGAACAGGTGAAATTTCATTTTCAGCTGTGCTTTCTAATAAATCTGAAGCTAGGATATTTTTAAAAATGGCTAACATCACAGAATAACCAATAGACAACTACCTTAAACTGACATATGCATCTGTTATAATGGCACACTTCAGCAGAAATACTGCTGAAGCATATTTGTGTAGAATGCTACTTCTCTCATCTCTTATGTGTAAATCCTATTTGTAGTTTTAAAAGGAGTGCCATGTGCAAAGTGTAAGGAAAAGAGGAAACAGCTAATATCCAGGCAACTTAGTAATTATAAGTAGCAGAAGAATTTGAAGAATTTACTTTAATAATTCAAAATGACTTAGAAGCTCAGATTCCGGGACAAAGCTAGACCGTCAGTCCAATTAGCTCAGCACTGTTGACCTTGACTGGCAAGAGTTCTCCAGGTTTTCTTTCCCAGACCTAACTGGACTTGCCAAAGTGGAATTATAGAACTTCTGCATAAAAAAACATATGCTCTGCAACAGAGTGTAGGATCTTCCACTTTAGTCAGGACCCACACAAGTAGTCCAAAGACCCACACCTATGTGTACATAAGTGAATCCTGTTTCTCAAACACCACCAGTCAGTAGTACACAGAACAAATATCTTTGGAAATAGAATGGAATTTCAAACATAGTTATGAAATGGTACAGGTATGAAGCAGGGGCAAGCTGTTAAAGGAAAAGCATCAGATATCTCATTAAAGGAAAAGCATCAGATATCCCCTTAGCATCTTTAATATGAAACTCCAGAATCTATGTCCCAGTTATTGAGACATGCTGAAGGAAATAATAGAAAAGGTTTCTTACTACTTGCAACTAAATTGCAAACTTCTTTGTACCTCAAAGGTTCCCTCTCCTACCATGTTTTATTAGATGGAGAATACTGTTTCATTTTCACAGATGTTTGTTTTACAAGATGGGTAATTTCCCAGCTTTGCTACCTGTTGAATCTATCTCTGACCTATAATATTATTTTCGTGGAGTGTACTAAATTCCATAACATATCTATAAGACACCAAGTGGTATTTAAGTGTCAATATGGGATATAAAATCTTATATGAACAAATAAATGTACAGCCATAAAAATCAACACAGCAGAGATTGGCAATCTATTTTTCATTTGGAGTTCCACTTCCAATTTCAGAGGGATCTTAGGAACTGCATTTCAACAAGGACATGTGATAAGAGGACAAGACAGAGACCAAAGGAGAATATACAAGGTTAGAGATAATCCTTATTGATTAGGGAATTTCCCCAATTCATTACATGCCTATAACACAACAGCTTCCTGGGCTGCAAAGTGCAGTTCTCTGGCAACAACTTCCCAGTCTTTTTTCTCTGGCCAGGGACAAGAGCAGAAACAGCTACTGGAGAACTTACATGGGTCACATCTGGTTTACAGGACATAGGTTCCACCATCCCTGGCACAGAGAATTTCATATTCTTAAACACACAGATTGCTCACATACTGCTCCAAACATCATTCTATTCTATGCTTGATTGATTTCACTATCTACCAAGTGGTTTTTCATATAATTAATTCCTTAACTTTAAAGAGTAACATGCCACTTTCTAGGCCACCTTTTCAGTGCATTTATTTACATCACACATTATAATAAATAAATATCATCTTGTTGAAGGACGTGTTTATTAAAAGCAGAGTCAACTTCCTTATGCTATGGTCTTCAGACAAACTAGCAGGTTTGTGAGAGGGATTAGCATCTTAATTGTTAATTCTTGATATTAGCATCTTAATTGTTAATTCTTGATATAATTTTTAAACCAAGTATTTGAGTGTTCTGTTTCTTCAGATAAAGAAACTCAAGAGCTGACTGCTTATCACATGTACTTCAATTAAACCTTTCCAAGCAACAAGCCATCCTGCTTAGACCTTTGACTGTTCTCTCATCTATTCTGCTGTCTGAAGAGTATTCATTTGTTGTCTCATAATAGTACTGTCACAGTTCTGAAGTAGGAACTACTGGCGTCTTAATGCATTCTGGCATTTCATAAACCTTGAGAATAGGAGACTAGCATTCAGTCCACCATCAGTGGCTTGAATGATCCACATTTTACAAAAAAAAATATGTTATGCATAACTTGGGAGTGCAGAATTCTAATGTGCTTATTTTGAAGATGGATGTGAAAAATAGAAACTTTCTTTTCTAATATTCAACATTGAATTTATTTTTTAAAAAAACCTGCTGCATACCTGGCTGACATGTCAATTGAGCTATCTATTTCAGGGTGGAGAAAGCGAAATCTGTGGGCTGCCTATAGCCCCCAGTAATATTTTTGCAGCTCTTCCTGAAAATATATGCCCCAAGAGTCTTCAAACACCTGAAACCACCTAAGCAATGGAAAAATGACCCAAAGTAACCCAAACAGGAACCAGAAGTGATCATGGTATAGCCCAGCGCTTCTTACTTTGAGACTCTTTTCCACCCAATAATAGTATTGCTTGTGAGGATGTTGAAGAGGAACTGTCCCAAAACAGAGTCCTGAGAAACTCCAGTACATACTTCTCTCCACTTCCCTACTCTGCCTCCAGCTCCCTTAAACAAGATTTAGATCTATCTTCTATGGCAGCTGTAAATGCATTACGATGTCTAGTGATGAATGTTACTGTATTTTAATATGATTATTGTTACTGCATTTGTGGTTGTGACTGGCTTGGAACACAATGTATTTATAATAAAGATTGTGGTGTACAAATCAATCGACTGTTCTTTGTCAACATAATTTGAGCTACTCAAGCCATCACAACAATAAATAGAAATTACATTATCTCATCAGCTTTATGAGGATTTTTCTAACAGTAAATTAGCAAAAAAAAACTTAGGATGAAAGACTAAGAGAACAAAGCATTGTGTTGGGGGGGGGGGGAATATACTACCCCAGGCAGTTAGAAATAAAGCAGAGGAAAACTGGAAGGACCTGTAAATTATGAAAACAAACAGCTTGGAGAAGTAGAAGATTGCATCAGCCTGAAAAGTTAATTTATTTCCAGAAATTATTAAAAATGTTATTGTGCTATAATAGAAGACCTTGAAGATATTTGTCTACATGCTGTGTTTGTAGTTTGCTTGTTTTCAGAGATTATATTTTTGCACCTACATTTTAAAATGGTTGTCACTTGCTAGACAGGTGAAACACACCCACAGTCCTGATAAGCCCCCAGAGGAGGAACCTTGACCAGAGAAGAGGAGTCCAAGGGGGCTGTGTTGTCACAACTTGCTACTTCTGATTGACAGCACAAAATATCATCACGTAAAGCCTACACAATCCTACTCTGCCTCTTCCACTGGGAAAAGATGCAAGCAGCAGCCTTGGAGATTTGAAAAGTTCCTTGCCACTCTATTCCCTAAGGGAGCTGAAGAAGCTCTAGAGAGCTTTAGACAAGCTCTCAGAGAGGACCAAAATGTTTTATGGGAGAGAGAGCACTGTTTTTAAAAATTGCAATATTCACCCTTTGTGCCATTACTATAGGAGCTAGCTAGAATGCCATGGGGGTGTAGATTACAACCATACAGTAGATAATTTTTAAAAGATAGAAAAGCACAGACAAGATTCATTTTACCATTTAGTCTTATACATATGAATCTCCTCTTGATTCTAGTTACATAGGGAAGCAGTGACTTCACTGAAACAAGAAAACATCAAAAACATGGCTGCAGGTAGTGTTTGAATACTTTGAATAAACACACTAAGGGGGGAAAGGGGAAGAAGAGAAAATGTCAGATATAAAGACTATTAAAATCAGTGCACCCTCCCACACAAAAACTGCAAAGGGATCTAACAGCACCTTTGAGACTATCTGAAAGAAGTTGGGGGCAAACCTTTTCACAGACTACGTCTAAGTCATGAGGTACATCTTTGCGTACAATAACAGAGCTATATCTTTGAATGCTGAAATTTTATTTGTCCAACATAAGGACAAGGATGTTTTTTTTTGGGGGGGGGGCAAATAAGAGAATGCAAATTCAACTGTTTCCAAATCACTTCAGGAAACTGGATGTTAATAATTATCTTTTGATGACCAATGGAATTGTCAGGAGGAATTTTTTTTCTAGAACAAACAGATTATTTTTTTTTATAAAGTATGTGTTTTCACAAGGAATACACATTAAAAATAAAATGAGTTATAATACAGAAACCGTTTCAAGAACAGGCCACCAGAGAAACTTGTGTTGCTAGGAAAAGGCAAGCAAATTGTCGGAAGGGTTAAATATTATGGTTTAAAGTTCAAGTGAAGTGTTTGAATCAAAACAGACTACTATCCCAGCAAACATTGTAAAGCCTAAAGATTACATAATTTAGGGAAATATGAACACAAGCCATGGATAAGACAACTTGTCCTGTGGTCTCCAGAATCAGCCAAAACCTTAGAAAAGCTAGCATGTTCTTGTTATAAAAGAAAGAAAAGCTGATTAAAGGGTATGGAACTAGGGTCTGCATATATTAATACTCCACTTTTTAATCATTACCACCAGCTAATCAAAGGAACACTGACTGAAATAGGACACAAAGAGGTCCTCTTCAAAACAACCACCTGCAACGACTAGAAGAGGAAAACGTAGTAGCAATGGAAGATCTTCAATTATTCTGATCTTTGTTGGAACTCAAAAGTCTTTAAAGAATACAAGGTACAACAAATTTTGCACTTGCCTTGCAAACAATTTCATTTTCCAGAAGGTTTTTTTTTTGGGGGGGGGGGAGGGTGTTACATATGTTCTGAATTAGTGACTAAATGCAGTTCTGGGATGGATGAAGGCTGAAAAAAATGAAGACAATGACTTCATGAATGGGTAGTTCACATATCTGGGAAGTTTTAAAATAACATAATTGGGGGATGCTCATCAATCTACCTATCTTTTAATTGGAGGCTCATGTGACCTAATGCCC